ATAGCCACACCTCGTTTCTGTATATAATGTTTACCATTAAAAGAAAAGCAATTCCCGTTCAAAACTAATTCCGCTAAGCGCACCAACACAAACGTAGGAGGATCCTTAACTGTCCTTTTATTCAGAAAATGCTGTAAAGCCAACAGTCCATCAGTGTGCGGGATAGATGTATAAAGGGATTTTACATCCATAGAAAACAAAAATCTGGGTATATCCGGTGTGAAACGAAATAACTCTAGTTTCCTAAGTGCATCATTAGTATCCTGAACATACGTAGGCTTTGACGCAACAATTGGTCTCTGGTCCAATCCCATCAAAAGTACCTCAGTTTTGTCCTGATTTTAATTTAATCCTAAACATTTTCTAAATCTGCTAACTGTATTGAAACGAGGTGTCATTGAGTAACTCGACCACTGTTATAAACAGATAAGGGGACAGGGGTCCCCTTTCGTACACTTTTGCAATGGGAGAGTAACAAGTTGATGTTTCATCACACAGGGGGAGATGCTACAGAAAAACATTTTTTTAAAATATATTCCAAAATTAAAAACTTTTTTTTTAACTTTTTTCAGCAAAAATTTGTGATCAAATGATTAGAATCAAATCTTTTTTGAAGTCAATCCGAGCGAGTTTTGAAATCTGATTAGCGACATTACAACTGTGTGAATACATATTTTTTTCACGAACATATATTGGTTTGGCTGAACGATAGTTGGCAGGATGGCATAGAAAAGTTTTACAATTGCGCTAGAGGTATCAGTATTAATGAGAGAGATTGTTCTTAATATAGGTCATAATATGTTCAGCATTTGTGTCCTCAGTATTGTTAGTTTGTAACGTTTCACTTTTGTTTTAGTTTTGTATGATCCTACCGAATGCAGAAAAAATATTTCTTGTAGCATCTAAATAGTATAATATAATCCTGTGCTTTATTATTCCAGTTTTCTATCTTCAGTTTTGTCTTATAATATTGTTATTTTTTAGTTTCATTATCAAGATTATTTTCCAAACCCTCAATTATTGATTTCCAGTTCATGAAGCTTCTTCCCTGAGCTTTGGATTTTGAATAAGTCTGCGTCTGCGTCTTATTTTATACTTGCGATACTCCCAAAAAAGTCACCGGATTTTGCCTGGCAGCTCAAACTCCCAGTCCTTAATTTCACGCGTTAGACTTTGGCCATAGTTCCTATCTTTAATTAAATAACTGTTAATTTTCCAGTAAAACTGGCCATGTGTACCTCATGATTCATTCTGGATAACTAGAGTAATAGCCTAGTTATCTGAACAAATTGAGGGTTTGATACTTACCGACAAGATTCTGTAGGGTATTATGAATGAACCAAAACAGAATTGTGTTTGTCTGCACATGTAACGTTTGCCGCCCGGATTTTGTATCAGACAAATGTAAATTAAATCCAAATCGGACAGTTTGCCAAAAACTTTGTGTAATAATTGTTTTGTATATCTGTGAGGTTTAAACATACATTTAAATCTTCTTTTAAAATTAATATATCATCTAATAGGTTACTTAAACTAGAACACTTCAAATCCTAAAAAAAGAAATTGTTCCCTGGAAATACTAGGTGCATATATGTTTACCAATACAGTTCCCATTTTTGGATGGGGGTCCAGATACACATATCTTTTTCATCATCACTGATGTTATCATGGACTGTGATAACTGATAATTGCCCAAATAATATTTTGTTATCCCATTGCTTTGCACACTGCTCCTCAACTTCGTTTGAACTGTAAGTCTTTAATAACATAACAATGCCGCATTTTGGCCATGGGAATATAAGTGTTCCCTCTATACTTTTTTTAATAATCCTCACATTAAGTCTGGTTAATTTAATTAAGAGACCATCCATGACAAACTATATTCCATGCATTAATTAGATTATTGTATACTAGGTTAAAAATAAAAATACAAAAGAGAGCGAAGAAGCTGAAGTGGCAATTGGAAGTATAAGAGAAAAAAATGGCAAAGCCAAAGGACATGAAATGACGTCACTATAGTAAATGTGATGCATGTACATACAAACATTTCCTCGCTCGTCCAACAGTACATTGGGCGGAGCGTGCTCTTTCCTCACTCCACCCGCAATCTATGTATTTATATAATTGTTTGTTTAGCATTATTGTAGCATAACAACTTAAAGTGGTCTCTGCCCATTAAGATGATATTCAATATCCATAATATTAAAAGTACCTAGTAAAGAGAGGGGGAAAACAACTATATATATGACTTTTGTATAATTATAATGTAACTGGCAAAATATATCATAAATCATAAGCATCTTGTAATACATGTATTCAATACCTTTAGATAAACAATTACAAAAAAAAATTGATCAATACAGCCAGGCTGGCAAAAAGAAGCTGAGGCTGTAAAGTCCAAGGATACAGTATTAGATTTTTCAAGTAGGTATGATCTGCAGAAGGCACTTTTGCTTTCATAATTAGGATTGGCTACAAAATACAACTGTGTTGGTTCAGGTAATGAGTAAATCAGTGTTAGCCATACATATGTTTTACTTTCAAATTCTCTCGCTTTGCGGCTTCCATCAGGTCGTAACTTTGTTTGATCGTGTAGTAGCCACACATAAGTCTACCTTAATGAAAATGCCTGTACTCTCTAACCTGGGCACCATTTATCCATTAGTATTTTCCTTTGGTAGCGGGTGAAAGCTTGAAAATAATATGTCTTTGATTTGTAAGTCTTTCATTTTCCGCGTTCGTGTTTTTCCTAGCTGGAACGCGGTGAGCATAGTTCAAGGGTAGGTACGCCATTTTCAACTTGTCCGCCCGCCGCTAAATGATTTACAGTAGCCACGCAGTTTTTATTTGTTTTCCCTACTGTATTCCACGTAGTCACATATTATATCTACGCAAATAGCGGTTAATGTGTATAGCCCCATTGCCTGCAGACGTTACTTTTTTTCTTGACAAGTCTTGATTGTGGCGTGATTTAGTTGAAAAGGAATCGGTTTCCTCCTCCTTTTGTCTTAGGTCTTCTAACTCGTCACTTTGAAACTGAATCGATTTTTCAAAATTCGCAGTCTTTGCCTCGATTGATTCTATACGATTATAAAACTGTCATTATTCACTAATTAAAGTAGACACTTGTCCGATGTGTCACCAACATATTTCTTCAGCTTTTGAATACATTCAGTTCAGATTTGTTTCACGGCTGTCAAAGTAACAACCTTGATCGCCTCCCGTTTTACTGCCATGTGTTCTGGGGTCACCATTTTGGAATACTTTGATTATCTTTGGCTTTCGATTGTTTGACTTGGTTTGTTCACAATGCGTCTACTTGCATCAGCAAACTTTACGGAAAAGTATTAATACCCAGTACAAACTTAACTTTATAAAGGATAGAGGGACCGCTTGGTCGGTCAAGTATAACGCAGTTATAGAATAATACGAAATCCAATAAGAATGTTGGGCCTTTTGCCCGGAAAAAATTAGAAAGTAGAAAGAAAGGAAAGTTGTGATGGTGCCCTTCATTTTACATGGACGAAGCGAAAATTTAAAATTCAAATTCGCATTATCTATAGTAGCATAAACATATAAACTACCGAAGAATTGTGTCTAAATGAAACTAAACGTACAATTATTAAGTGGGTCGGATATAGTATAAAATTATAGTCCGCCACAAATTAGCAAATCTCAATGTATTGAATGTCATCGTTTTGCATAGTTTATTCAAAATTCATTAGTTAAACCACTTCAGGGAGAAGTCATGGCGTTCTATTATTATTTCATATATTCCCACAAATCGTAACCAATTAATCCAAGATGTTCATATGAATGTATTCAAAACCATGTTCAATAATTAGTTGATCCGGCGTTCCAATCTATTCATATGCATATGAAAACACATGCGAGCTTGTTGAAATGTTTTCCGCTGAGTAAATGACGCACATGCCGGCTGACAAATGCAGCAATCAGAACAAAATAAGTTGTTCACAATAAAAATCAATTCACCAAATCCCATGAACATCTATTGTGACAAATGGATTTTATATACATACTTTCTACTTCGACACCAAAGAATAAATATCACTATTAATGACACCAAAACCCTGACTGAGGCTCGGCATCCAGCCAGAAAATGTCATTGGCGTGGCGATTTTCAAACACTGTCATTCGCTTTTGATATGCGTTTTCAAAACTGTACGGTTCGTTTCAATATATGTTGATCTATATAAAACAATTTGATTCAAATAATTAAGAAAACATACAACAGAATAATTCAAACAAACGCGCTGTATTCTGGCGTTGTACGGCATCAACATGTTAAGGCGCCTCGCCCGGCTTCACTGGGCTGCATAACACCCCAGATATGATATATGAATAACTGTGAATCAATTTTTCTGGCGCTTGCCTTTTTGGTAGTGCATAGCATTTCTTTATTGCTAGGTATTATTATATATGCATGATTAGGGCAATGTAATATTTCAAATGTTGAAATGTTACATCTCATCCTTCAATCAATTAAATAATGTTATTCTAATCAAATTTTCAACCAGTACAAACTGATTGATATGTTATTGGTAGTCAAAGTATTTGAACAATCTGGTTCGTTATTAATACATGTGTACTTCACAATATAATATTATATACTACACTGTCGCTGACATGTCCATATTTTAGCTGGCACACGCATTACAATTCGCGATCGATTACCAATAACACTATTGTGGCTCATATTACACAGTGACATTAGAAACGACCTCTGTTGATTCGGCAATACTGAATATTAATTGGACATTCCTTACAACGCATTTCATTGTCATATGTCATTGCTTCAAGCATAATTGATTTGATTATATTTTTCATTATAGCCTGTGATGATTTGTACGACTATCGATGTGACAATGGTCTTTGCATATCTAAGTATGGTTTGTGTAATGGTTACAATGACTGCATGGACTGGTCAGATGAGATGATTTGCGGTATTTTATTTTATGATTTGCGTTTTTGTTACTTCGTAAGTTTGTATTAAATTAATCTTTCTAGACAGTTCTTCGCATGAGTAGAAGTAACAATATTCTGCATACATGTCTTTTGGCGTAGAACACGTAAGATGTTACATAACAGTAACGATTCACATTATAGATTGTCAAGATGACTCGATTATATGTAATGGAAAGTGCTGGCCAGCAATTATTGAATGTGATGGACTTAATCAGTGTTCGTATTACGAAGACGAATATTTTTGCTGTAAGTATTTTCCAAGTGACGGAACAAACACGTAACTATGACTGTCCTTTCATCAGCAACAGACAACTACGTAATGTAGTCGTTTCCACTGCAACATATGTCGCATTACTATGCACTGGATGCAACTACCATAATATGTTATTAATACTCGTGAACAATTGTTAGTTGTAATTGTAATATATGGTCTGAAAAAGACGTGATACGATAGAATACATCACACAATCTCATATATGAGAGCGATACAGTCGACGCGTCGCGTTTGATAAAACCATAGCGACACAGAATAGCTGTGGTTAAACTCATAAACCAAAAAACTTGCAACTTATTTGTAATTTAAAGTCAATGAAAGTACAATTAATTCTTTTATCACACGAGTGAAACTATATTTGCTCGATATTATATTTGTAAAACATCCACAACACCAGAATATGACAAAAAGCGATTCCATGGGGTTTTTCAATAATCCTTTTAAAGGTGAAATGAGACCAGTATTACGTAACCAACTAACGTGACAACAATAAACACAAACTGGTTCTTAGTGAAGTACCAATAGTGACAGAAAGCCATTCTAGAGCACTTTCACTGTTTCACTATATGGCCATATCGCCTCTATTGACCTATAGAAAATCGTTAACATTTAGCACTAGTATTACTTAATTTACACATTACTTAATTTACACAGCTTGTAACGGTTCTGACGACTTTGCATGCGATAATGGTAAATGCATACCCTCATATTACGAGTGTAATGGTTATGATAATTGCGGGGACCTCAGTGACGAAGCGTCCTGCAGTGAGTACATTTATAACTATTAACTATATGCACAACCGTGGATCCCAACAGAATATACAAATCAAGTTTGTGTCTCTTTGTTGACATTGACGTATAGTTTTTTTGAAGAGTACCTATTCAGATGTGTATTGATTGTGTTTAAATTATCTGTCTTTACTCTTATAGCATGTGATGCCGACGAATTTCAGTGTGACAATGGTAAATGCATTCGCTCGTATTATGTGTGCAGTAATTATGATAATTGTGGTGATCTCAGCGACGAGTTCAACTGTTGTAAGTTGCCTTTTATTTAATA